CCCTTTAGGAGCTCACAAACTGACCACTCTGTAATGCTTACAACTTCACAACTATTCCTGAGACTCTATTTTTGTAATGACCAGTAAAATAGTTCAGAAAATAAGAACCATCTCTTAAAAGGCAAAAGATCACATTATTCTGTGTGCTTATTCCAGAGGATCCAATTTCCTGAGCTGAAATCCCCACGAAAACTAGATCAGTCCTTTTCTGAGTCAAACAACTTTTTCTGCTTCAAAACCAGGGTTGATTGGGAAGACAAGTGACAAAACACAACCTGGCTATTGAGGCAGCATGTTCAACATGGGACAAAATAGACCGCGAAATGACAAACCCTAAATGGACTGGGTCCTTATCCAAAGAACTAATCAGGCAGGCCACCAACACAGTCCCACATTGCCACCTAAAATTCAGGTGCTTACCGTTAGAGCTTATTAATTTGAGCATTTACTGAGTAAATTTGTTATCCCTATCCCAAGCTATCCTGCTGGGGTACGGTCGCTCATTCTGGCCGAGAATGGGAACAGCTGTGTGTGGTCAATTCAAGCAACCAATCATCTTGCTGTTAAGCAGACAGCAGGACTTGGGCACTTTCCAGAAAAACACCTCTGGACTTTTAAAAATGGTACCAGCCAGAAACCAAAAACATCATCAAAGTCAAAAGAAATTAAGGAAACTAGATTTGTCCATTGGTTAACTTTTACATCAACTCCTGATTCAAACAAGGTCACTATCTCATGGTTGTGAGATGCAGGTCCCATATTCTCGGGCTCTATACAGTGGTGTGGAGCCTGCCTGGGTCTCTCTCCCTCTCTCTCTCCAGCTTGCTTGCGCTCTCTCTGTCAAAAATAAACAAAATTTTTTCCAAAACAAAGTCTGAAATATGAAGAGCCTTTCTAAATCTCCTTACCAGATGGCTTGCTATGAACTAAACACCAGGGTCAGAAGAACCACGATAAACCATTTCAGGCCAAGTCCTCACCCAGGCTGTCCCCAGACTTCACAGCACCTGCTTTTGTCCAAAAGTGTGAGCTCCGTCCAGGCTACTCAAGAGATGCCTGGTGAGGCACTGATACCCCCCAAAATGTGGCTTGTCAAACCTGCCTGTCCTCCAAGAATCACCCAGGAGTGCTTTTGAAAAACAGAAAAACACATTCATCAAAAAAATTTTTTTTTTGGTATATGCCTGTGTCAGAGGCACTATTCTAGTCTCAGGAAAACAGCAGAACTAAAACAGACAAAGTCCTTTGCCTTCATGGGCTGGAGTGGAATGAAAAATAGCGAGAACATTAAGCAGTATGAAAATGGGTTTCATTCTCACCCCAACCCGGTTATTCAGGAGCTGTTGCAAAACTCCCAGTGACCGTGGGAGTCCAAGCTCTCATTTTTTAAGGAGCCACGGGTGTGGCTGTCCAGCAAGCAGCATATTCTGAGACAATGCTGGGAAGTTGGAGACAAGAAACTCCTGCTTCAAAGCGGATGAAGAAGTTTCACAAGCAAGAGTTGCCCAGTACAGCCAACACTCCTGCTTCGGCGTTTTTTTTCAATGACTACCTACAGCCTTTCACAGCTCCTGACGAGATCACCAGCAACAAAGAGGCAGGAAGGTAACCAGTCAAGTAGCACAGAGGGCAATAATCCTCCCGCAGTGGATGAGACGCGTATTAACCTGCCTTTCCCCATAACTGACCAGCTGCAGGTCACCCAAATGGCACTCACCAAAGGCATGAGCCAATCAAAGGCTGAGGCGTGGAGGGAGGAGGAAAAGGGCCCCTGGGAAGCAACCCTAAAACAATGCTGACAGCTGATAGCAGAGAAAGCACAGCAGCTGACAAGCCTGGCTTGGAGCTATCCTGAACTTGCTTTTTAAAATAAAGACATTCAGGCCAACAAAACAAACCCTTCCTATGCAGCAGCTGCAGATACTAATTAAAGGGCCAAATCTTACATGTGTTGGAGTTTAGGAAGGGTAGGGGCCTCTCTGGTGTTTGCAGCTACACCCAAATTTAAGGGATAGCAAGTAATGCCCATCAGTTGTGTGGCATTTGAAAACAAGGACAAGAGTGTGTGTGTGTGTGTGTGTGTGTGTGTGTATCGCGTACATGAATACTGCTCATACACACCTGCATGTACTCATATCCATATGTGGGGAAGGGGTATTTAATAGTCCCTTGTACCCTACTTCCATTGCACAGGGTGTCATTAGAAGCATGCTATGCTGGCCACCCTTTCAACAACGTGCTTGAAATGCTTGCACTACAATCAGCTGCCTGAGATTACTAATAACAATGGTGTTGGCACTAAGTTATCTGCCCTGTGGACTGTCCCTGATCTTTGGCATCTGGGAGGAAGAACTCTCAAAACAGAGTGGTCCCTGGCAGGGACTTCAGAATTATTCTTCATGAGCAAGGTCACCAAGAAAAGAGAAGACCCTGTTATTTTTTTTTTGTTTTTTTTTTTTTTTTTCAGAAAATGGAACCTGATTCATCCATCTATTCAGAAAAATCCTCGTGAGCACTGAATCATCAGAGTCTTGGCAAGAAACAGACTGCACACTCAAACTAGGTAACTGGGACAAGATTAATGGAAGCACCCTGCACTGGTGCAAGAAGAACCCTGGGGCCTGGATTAAGAGCTGGGGAGTGGTACCACTTATCAACCTGAAAGAGCAGAGTAAAGGACAGGGATCTGAGGAAACTTCACCATTGTTGAAGGGCAAAGGAGGAAGAAGTAGCCAGAAATTAACTGTAACTACCATGCATGGTTCCTCCCAAGTGGGGCCCCCAGACTAGCAGCAGCATCACCTGGCGCCTGGTTGCAAATTCTTGGGCCCCATCTTGATCTAAGCCAGAAACTGGGACCAGGACCAGAAGACAGAGCTGGGACAATGGAACAAGATTGTGGCGACTAAGGGCTTTAAATGCATTCACTTGAAATATGCCTATTCAGGACATGAAACAACTATTTTGAAGGCAGCCCCTCAGGAGGCAATGGCACATGCCAGCAACTCAGATTGGGTTCAATAAAAAAGGTATTAATATCTCCTTTTCACCAATGGAACAGTGAAGCAGAAAAAGAGACCAGCGACTCCAGAGACCAACCAAGGAAGAGTAATAATAAGAACCTATATTCTAAGTAACAGCTTCCTTCCCGACCCAGACGTAGCTTCAAACCAGGCTTCTGGAAACAGCAACATGAGAACATGCTGGTGAGTTTGAGACATGCCTGAAAACTGGATAATCTTACTTTTCTGAGAGATCAAACAGCACATCACTCACTGTCAAAACTATCATAAACCACATTTTACAGAAAATAAGCAATGAGAGTTGTATTTTGTTAACTCTCCTCCCGAACTCCCAGTGTCAGCCTGAGAGAGCCCAACACCCACAATTACAGGGGTCACTGTCTAAAACAGCCAACCTCAAACTGTCCCTACCAAAAGGAAGAATACCACCTGTGCAATTCTTGATTGCAAGCTGAGACAATGTAAAAGAATTAATCCCAAGCAGGACTTCAGGGCAAGGACTGGGAACAGAAGTGCTTTTGGGATGTGACAGTGCTCAACATAATGGAGCCAAAGTATGGGAGGTGTGGGGGCCCAGCTGAAGCGAATCTCTGTGCCTACAGTGGGTGTTTTAACCTCTGTGGCAGACCTAGCTATTCCCCAAATCCATTCTTCCCAAGCTGGAGAATGGCCATGCCTAGGCAGGGTATAGATGTAGTCACTTATGATCAAGTTCTAGTCAGCTAAAATGGGAAAAGGAAATGATGTGCCGTGCCCCACTTCCATATCTTTCCTAGTAAAAGGAATTTACTTCTGTCCTCTACTCCTTTCTCCTACCAGCCAGGTGAAATGAGAATACCCGACTTCT